CATCAAGTTAGTGCACCTTTCAAAGCGTTTAACATGTTTTTGAGTTAAAAGCTATTTTTTAAAAAGATTTTGCAAAATTTGGTCGAAAATAACATTATTTTTGACTTTTTCAGTTAAAAATGTACTTTTCCTTTGTGACATTTTGTTCAAGTAAGGCGAGTAATCTCTTAATTAGATAGGAAATCGTGTTTTTGCTTATTTTTGAGTAAAAATCTTAATTATTTTTTATCAAAACATGCCCAAAAATTAAATAGGCAAAAAATTTGTATTATTTCCTTTTATTTTCAAACAAATAAAAACGTTTTTGAGCCAACACTAATTTTTTTCACTAAATTTTGCTAAAATACCCAAATTACTCGTCGAAAACGCAATTATTTTTGTCTTTTTCAAATAAAATTTCACCAAAATGGACCAAAAAATTAGCAAATTTAGTTGAAAATGGTATATTTTTTAATACATTTTTTTTAACTGGGAGTTAGGATAAAAAACTCTAACTATTTTAACTGAAACTTCTTGTTACTTTCAAAAACAAAAATTCTAAATTCCATAGTGTTTTACAAAAAAAAGATCTCTTGCGTTTTGCAGTACAACTTACCCTTTTTGAGTAAAATCTTTTTAATATTCATGTTACACTTGTTTTGTTGTGTTTTCTAACAAAAAAAAATGGTCAAATTTGGTCGAAAATCATACTATTTTTGCTTTTTTCAACGTTTTAGCATGTTTTTAAAACTCAAATTTTGAATAAAACTTGATCGAAACAAGATCAATCACGAAATTAAATCGAAAATGATGTTATTTTTTACTTTCTCAGACGTTTAAGAAAGTTCTTCATACAGAAACGCAATTTTTTTGAAAAATTTTGTTCAAACGAGTCCAAAAATCGTGCTATTTTTGCATTTTTTAGCAGTTAAATACATTTTTGAGCTTATAAACTGAGTTTTTTTGCTAAAACAGACCAACACTTACCAAATTAGATTGAAAATGATAATATTTTGCCGTTTCAATTATCCTTGAACCTTTTTAGTATAAAATTTTGTTCAAAAAGGTTCAAAAATTACCAAATTATATCGAAAATTATGCTATTTTTGACATTTTCGAGAGTAAAAACATAATCAAATTTGGTTGAAAATAATATTATTTTTGACTTTTTCAGTTAAAAATCCACTTTTCCTTTGCGACATTTTGTTCAAGTAAGGTGAGTAATCTCCTAATTAGATAGGAAATAGTGTTTTTGCTTATTTTTTAGTAAAAATCTTGTTTTCGATCAAAACATGCCCAAAGATTACATAGGCAAAAAATTGTATTATTTCCTTTTATTTTCAAACAAATAAAAACATTTTTGAGCCAAAACTAATTTTTTTCACGAAATTTTGCAACATAGCCAAATTAGGAGTCGAAAACGAAATTATTTTTGCCATTTTCAAATAAATTGGGCCAAAAAATTTGCAAATTTAGTTGAAAATGGTATATTTTTTGATACATTTTTTTTAAACTGGGAGTTAGGATAAAAAAACTCTAACTATTTTGATTGAAATTTCTTGTTATTTTCAAAAACAAAAATTCTAAATTTCATAGTGTTTTACAAAAAAAGAGATCTCTTGCGTTTTGTAGTACAACTTACCCTTTTTGAGTAAAATCTTTTTAATATTCATGTTACACTTGTCTTGTTGTGTTTTTTACCAAAAAAAAAATGGTCAAATTTGGTCGAAAATCATACTATTCTTGCTTTTTTCAACATTTTAGCATGTTTTTAAAATTCAAATTTTGAATAAAACTTCATCGAAACAAGATAAAAAATCACGAAGTTAAATCGAAAATGATGTTATTTTTTACTCTCTCAGACGTTTAAGAAAGTTCTTCAGCCAGAAATGCAATT